CGTGGCTCCGCCCACCGGGGGCGGGGCCTGGTGGGAGCCGAGGGGGCGGTCCGCAGGGGCCCGGCTGGAGGCCAAGCTCAGGCGGAGCCGTGCCCACGGGGACTGGCTTAAGGACTACACCTAAGGGCACCGCGCTCACGCGGCCGGCACAGGAACGGCGACTGCAGATCCCGTTTCAGGGCTGGTGAAACAGGCACAGCACCCCCACAAACACCCAGGAGCGAGAAAACGGTAGGGGCTACGTTTCTAACTGTGCCCCTAACAGTATCTTGGGCTCTTTCCGTAAATACATAAGAAGAATTCACTGGGCAAACCTTTATCGAGCGCCGATGGTGCACCAGGTACTGTTCCGAGCACTGGGGACACTGCAGCGAACCCAACAGACAAGAATCCCTGGGCCTCCCCTCCCCTCCCCCCGAATTTACTGGTTCAGGGAGATTACGCTCAATAAGATAACTATTTAAAATAGAGTTCCTTCTTGGGTGACCAGTGTCACCTGGAGCCAAACAAAGCTAGGAAGGGTTATAAAGGGGCAGGGTGACGTGTGTGTGGAGGGGGCCTCAATTTTCTCCCCACACCAGGGAAAGGTATGGTGGCGTTGAGGCCTGAGGGATATGAGGGAGTCAGACAGTCTCTGTTCAAGAATAACAAGGAGGGGGGACTCTTTTCCCCTCCCCACGTGGGAGTCTGTACTATTTTTTCAATAAATTTCCACTTTCACTACACAAAATAATAATAATAATAATAATAATAAATAACAAGGAGGGAGGAGATGGACAGGAGGAGGGTTGAGCTCTGAGAAAATGGAGTCAGCTGCGAGAGGGTCTTTTGACCACTTGAAAGTCTTGGTTTTTGGAGAGGTGAGTCTTGGGGGTGGTTTGAGCAGGAGAGGATTACGATCGTGTACACATCAACTCTGCTCCTACAGCTGGAATAGCCATGAAAGCCAAATGGCCACTGTCTTACCTCTCTCCACTCGGCCTCCCTGAACTTCCCTCCTCAAAGCAGCTCTTTCAGATCTCTGTTTGAAGTGGCATCAACACCCTGCCCCACCCTCCAACCCTTACAAGTTTTCTTTTCTTCCTGACACCAACCACCTCATAATACAGAAGGGTTTCTTGACTGTGCTCTCCCTTCCCCCACCCTATACAAGGCTCCTTAAGGTCAGGGCCCGCAGTCTGCCTTCCCCCAGACTCCCCAGCACTCCAGCACTGAGTGGGTTTTATGTACTAACCCGGCTGCCCCCACAACCCCCAGTCCTGCTCCTGGACCCTCAGGGTCAGGGTTCCTCACATTGTTATGTTATTCAGATCTCCCTCAGGGGTGGCTGAATTGTCCTCCGGAGAGCCAAGGGCCACCTTGACCAAGGTACCGGTAGCCCCACCCTGCTTAAAGCCGAATAATTACACTCCATGACCTCCATCTGTCCCCAGTTCCCTCCTGGGCCTCGTTTCCCAAGAGTTGGTTTCTTCACTGCCACCTTCTGACCACCCAATTAAAGAGGCTCACCAACCCTGCCACCCCACTATCCGCTACCTTTATTTTATTCCTTTTACATCACCCAACAAGGCCCGATGCATTTGCTGATGGATCTATCTTATTCTGTCCCTCCCAGCCACCCTAGAATACAGTTATGAGAAAGCAGGAGTCCAGTCTGTCTTGTTCATAAACAGAGCCCCTATTCCTTCATAGTTCAGTCAACAAATACTGAGCACCTGCAATGCACATTCTTTCAATAGATATGGGTAGGGGGCCTCACTGTGCCAGCCATTAAGCCTTGGGGAGTAGTGGGAAGCAGAGTCCATTAAGCCCACCAAGTCCCTGCCTTAGTGAAACCGCGTGGAAGAAGTGAACTATCTGAGCCCAGAGCAGCGAGGTTCCTGAGTATCTGGAACTGCTGGTCTGCCTGCAGGGCCTCGGTTTCCTCTGTGAAATGGGACTGCAGGGAGGGCTGCGGGACAAAAAGGCTGCCTCGGGTGCTTCCAGCTGCTGCTCGCTCCCCAAGGCTTTTTCCTGGCGCTTGGCTGCTTGGCGCAT